CAAAGGTACAGATGTGTTGCAGCTCCTGTGGTGCATATGCGTACGTCAGCCTGCCTCAGCATTCTCGCCTCGAATGTGAGTCAGTCAGAAGGTTGTGGCTTCAAGCTCCACATCGGGACTTTGAACTCGCACAGTCAGGGCACTTGGATGTGCTGCATTGTCAGAGGTGCTGGCCTTCGTGCAAGACGTTAAAACAAGGTCCCGTCTGCCTGCTCAGGTGGACGTTAAAGGTTAAAGGTCCCTTGGCGCTTCTCAAAAAGAGAAAAGTTTTATCTCCTCGCCAACAATCTCTCAGATTAACATCATCATGAGTCACTTCATGGCTGTGTATTTTGTCGGTGAATGCAACAGGCAATTTGCACACGGCACTGCTGGTCCCGCAAACGGTCACTACACTTTACAGTATACTGTGTGAAAGTGCTTCGAGAAGTCTCCCAATGCAAAATGTTTATAACGTAAGGATATTCTCATAATACGATGAACCCAGACACTTTTGAAATGACGATTCTTTCCCTGTGGAGGTTTAAACAGCCCAGCTACTTGATTTCCCTCTCTTGTGTTGTTGTTTGCTTGTATACCAATATTAAACCACTTGATTGTAAACTGAAGTAAAAGGTACAGGTCACAGACAGATCAATCAATGCATTGAGGACACCATTATAATAATGTCCGATACCAAGTCATGTCCATTGTGAATACTTCTACCAGTCCTTGCCAGGCTTCACTGGCTCCCAACTACCGGACAGATCGATTTCAAGATCCTCTCACTCATTTTCAAATCCTTTCATGGCCTCGCACCTCCCTCCCTCTCCAATCTGCTTACCACCTCCCCCCCCCCCACCCCAATTCCACCAACTGATACCTCCCCACAGCTGGCTCCAGCTTCCTGTTTGTCCCTCGTCTCCTCCTCTCCACCATCGGTGGCCGAAACTCTGGAGCTCTCTCCCTCAATCCCCCCGCCTTGCCCCCTCCCTCCCCACTTTCAACTCCCGCCTAAAGCCCTTCCCTTTTGATCGTGCTTACGGTCACTTCCCCCAACCCCACCCTCTCCCCCTGGCTCGGGGTCCAGACTCTGCTACGGTCAAGCTCTCCGGGACACTACCCCGCTTGAAGGGCACTGTGTAAATACAAGTTGTTGTGCTACCAACTAAATGACATTGGCCTTGAAGAATGTTGCATTGTATCTAATTTATTCAGCGCAGACGTTTGTGAATAGAAACGAGGAAAAAACCCTTTGGCTTATTTGATCTCACCTTTCCAGAATAACTTGTAAGCCATTCCGGCTGTTATACTATATGACTTTTTAAAAAAAAACGTCATGGTATCATGGCTATCTGTCTGTCTGTCTTACCCTTCACAATCCTGAACCTGTTGCCCTTACATTCTGTGGCCTTTTCTTATCTGAAAACATTGTCCTGGATTCCCTCCATTCCCATTCAGAAGTTTATAAACCTCTGCAAAGGTGCACGTCTCTTTTCAAGGTGAAGAATCCTAGCTTATCTTGTTGTTTCTCATACTTTTCAGTCCTCTAACCACTGAGGATAAGCCTGCTCGCTCTCCCCTGAGCTGCCTCTCGACCAGTTCCTGGCCAGTTCGCTTATTATAATAATCCTTGCATTTGGTACAACGCCTTATCACATCTTTGAGATGTCTCAAAGCGCTTCACGCCAAGTGCTTTGCTGTAGAGTGAGTTGGCTGTATATTTTATGTCACAGTAGTGAGAATTATACAAAGTATTCTTGGTGTGAGCTAACTTGAGACGGTACAGCTCAAACACTGGGAATCTGATGATTTGTCAGTGTCTCCCAGCGTTCTATTTGACTTGTTTATTGCTGCCTTCAAAACAAAATAATTTTTAAAAAAAATAATAATAATGTGGTTCACTCAATCCACGACTGTTTGTGGGACACTGCTGTACGCATTTGACTGCCGTGTTTCTCCCTCAAAATACACTCCAGAGTATATTCTGCAGAAGGGAGGCGGGAGATGATTCACTGGATCCTTCTCGCAGTCACTACACTTGCAAACCATTGCCTTTAAAGCGCTGTGAGACATTTCGGCATAATAGGCCCAGGGTGAAATGCAAGGACTTATTATTTTATTACAGAATGTGGGGAAAGTACCACCATTAAATAGAATGAAGCTGGAAGTGTAACCGAAGCATAACCTGGAAAGGTTGTCAATTTCCTTGTTAGTTTCTTTCCATTCATTGGAATGGGATGAATTCCGCATGAACACACAGTAACCTTAACATAGTCTGTTGTATTTCCATTGTATAATGAAGTTGTGGTATGCTCTCAGGAGAATACCTACCTACCCATGAAGTATTTACCTTCCTCTTTCATTCACTCATTCATTCATTAAGCAGTGGGAAAACTACCTTTAATTCTATGTTTAAGGAAACAAAATGATCGAGTTAGCAAAATAAATAGCTTTGCTTTTCAAAATGTAATCAATATTTATTTTTCAATGTTGAACACTTGGTGATTGTTCTCAAAACAGCTTGAGCTTGTTACTGGAAGTCCAGTCATCCCAATTGTAGCTGCAGTCGCCCTTTGGAGCTCTGGGGGTGTAAATGGACTTTGAAGTGAAGCCGTCCGTAGGGTCAGTGGAACAGAGTTAGTCAAATTAAAATAACTTTTGAAACACGAGACTGAGTGTGGGAACAGTTTGCAGCAGTAATACTAGCTGTGGGCTTAAGGCAGCCCCACGGAAAGGGAGAGAGACTGAGGTGGCCTGTGAGAGAGACTTAAGCATTTTAATATTGAATTTTTCAGGAGCGAGCTGTCAGTTTTGATGAGCTGGGAAATCTCTCGTTCGTTTTGTAAATCACCTACATGTAAATAGGCCCGTCTTGTTTGCATAGCTGATGAATAGCACGGGTGTGGTTTGTAAATTCAGGCCTTTGGCTTGTCGTTTGGTTTTGTTCACAGCGCCACGAGTATTGAGATTTGAAATGCTTTTAGATTAGAAGCAATGAAGTGTGAGGAAGTGCAGATTTGAATACGAAGCAAAAACAAAGTTCACGCAGATTGAGCTATATTGAGTTCTGCAATCGATAGTTTGATTTCCTGAACTCCTCTTATGACTGTAACTATTGTATTAAACCAAATGTGAATCCAGTTCATCACTAAAGTCACTTAGTCTTCAATGAAGGAGATGCTTGGTAGTCTTATTCCTAATAACAACAACAACAACTTGCATTTATACAGTGCCCCTTACGCAGAGTAGCGTCCAGAGAGCTTCCTTAGTTCCCCAGATGAAAGAAAGGCAGTTTTCCCCTAGTGTGGCATCTATATTGCTGTAGACTTCAGATCGTCTCATATGCTATGAATTGGAACCACTGACTTTCACAGGAAGCCCTAGTGTCATGTGAAAGACTGGCTTCACGGTCCTGTGGTCACAGTTCTGACCTCTTATCGGAGAGCAACAAAGCAACCTGTTTGTTGACTCCGTGCGTGCGATCGAACACAGGCACTAAAACCATTCATTCGAGGACCAGCTTTTCCATTCCGTTGCCACAAGCCACCAGATGTGGGGGAGGGGTGGACAGACTCCTACTCAATTGGAACCCAAACCCAATGTGGGGTGTAGTGCTCTCCAATCTAATTCAGTCATAAACAGCTATGAATAGCTCCTCTGCTGAGAAGTTTGTCTGCCTTTCAGCTCATGGATCGGTCACATTGACGAGATGTGATAAAGCTGGCGAGAAGCTTCCAGCTGTCCACTTTATCTATATAATAATCCTCACATTTGATATAACTCCTTAGCGCCATGTTTCAAAACTCTTCACAGTGTATACTGTATATTTTGTGGCTGATACACGGCAGGCAATTGTGCCCAGCAGTGTCCCACAAACCATCGTTTATTGAGTGACCAAATCATTATCATTTTTATTTATTTTTTGAAGGGATTATAACCCCCGCAAAAGCCATCCACCAATCGTCTAACAACCGGGTTCCTACTTGTTTCTAGGTAAACAGAGATGTGTGGAGTAAGGAAGCTTGCCCAATGTTTCGCCCTGCCCAGGAATCGAACCCAGGTCCTCTCGCTTTACCTGTTTTGAAAACTGAAATCTGCCTTTGACCAGTATCCATCTACATTTAGCTCTCATTTAGCTTAATTACAGTGTAACTTCCTGATATTTTTTAATATTATCAGAATCTAATTCCGTTGTGAGCTTCAGCTTCTTTCAAACGAAGGCGAGCTAACCTAAAATTACCAGCAGTGTGGGGAGCCGGTGTCGTGTGTTTTGCACACTGTGGCTATAGCTTATTGCTACCAGCAAGATTTTATCATCTGTTGATCGTTTGTACTGCAGATGTTTTGCGGGTTCTTGCATGTTGCATCTCACCAACACCGAAAAAGTCAAATGATTGCGTTAGCCCAGCCACTGCCCATTTCTCATGTGCAACCATTTATAATCCCATTCAGCACGTCAAATCTATGACTTAACTGCACAAATATGAACATACAATTATCAAAGAAGGCTTCACTTTAAAAACTGTGCTGTTCTGCAGGTCTGCGATGCTGCGCTTTCCAATCTGCAGTTCAGTACATTCTCTGGTAACTGAAATCTTTCAAGATGTTACATCACTTGAGATCTTAGAATAAGAATAATCCTCACATTTGATATAGTGCTTTATCACGTCATTGAGAGTCTCAAAGTGCTTCACAGGATAAAGTGAATTGACTGTGTGTTTTGTGGGCGAAATATGGGAAAATGATCCCCATATTTCTATTTGTTTTTTTGCGGGAATTGTTCTCCCGTTCCTTGATTAATCAACAACCGGATGAATCCCTGTGACTGATTGCTGTAACTGGAGAAAAATAAAACATAAGCTTGGGTTTTCCCTGGCATAAATCTGCTAATCATATGCAGACGGCAAAGTTAACTCCTTTGGCCTTGCGAGTGTCCACCGCTGCTTTCTATTAATTCCAGGAAAGTAAAGTTTACAGTGACGCTAATGATGTCATTTTCTTTTTGCCTGTTTTCTCAGGGGGCGTGTTTTCCCGTTGGATCTGAACTCCATGACAGTTTACGATGTAGAATTCAACCAAGTGCGGAGATTATCCACTGCTTCCTTCACAAATCTGGGATCAAAATTCCACACGGTTTGGAAGTACTATTGCAGGGAGCATTTTGGCTGGAGGGAGTATTCGGAGGTAATGCGCACCACAGGGCCTTCGTGTTTGCTCATCCATTTTTTTTTACACAAAAAAATACACTCAATACAATATGTAAAAGTTCCTGAAAATATAAAGGGTTGCATAATTTTCCAGTCTGTCAAGTTGGTCTGTAACAAGTTGTGCTTAACATTCTGTTCTTCTCTGTACATAGCCAAATTGTACCAAAATGGTGCTGGGGAAAGGTCATGCTAGCTTTTTCTTTGTTTCGTTAAGATGTAAAACTATCTGCAAAAGTATGCAAAGTGTCAGCTTTTGCCAACTCGTAAATCTAAGTTAAGACCTAATTTTTAACAGAAAAGATCTTTGAATCAAAAACCGTTTCTCGGGACTTAAAGGGAAATTGACCACTTGACCTCTTATGAAACCCTTGCCTTGTGCTCAAACTCAGGCAAGATATCAGCACATATTTAATTAACCGTGGAAATCTCAGCATGATGCTGCTTCATTCAAAAAAATCATTGTTCCTGGTAAAACAGTTCAGTTCCGGTGTTGATCTGTATCCCCAATATTAGTAACAACAACAACACATTGCATTTGCGCACAGCAGTGTCCCACAAACAGTCGTGGATTGAAGTGACCAATTTATTATTGGGTTTTTTTCTTGAGGGATTATTTTCAGGCGTGTGGGAGTAAGGACACTTGCCCAAGCTCTCGCCCTGCCCAGAATCAAACCCAGGTCTTTCGCTTGCAATAACCTTCCTATGGCCGTGTTAATAATGTTGTGTTGATTTGTTACTTGCAGGCAGTTGTCCGATGCATTGAAGAAGCCTCGTCTCGAGGTATGAGTGAGATATGTTTCCTTATGCAACAAAACCGATATATCCTGAACTTAAGGGAAGGTTTTCAGCAGAACGTGATCTTTGGTACAAGGCGACGGATCATCAGGCGTCCTCTGTTTCGCTCCCCAATCCTGCTGCTGCCATATTTACAGTAAGTCCCAAAATAGATTGTTTGACGCATCCTATCATCTTACGTGTACCATGGTGTTGTACTGGGTAACTGACTATCCTGTTATCGAGTCACATTTAATTGCTGGCCCTTGTGGAAAGCTTCCTTTTTAATTTTAATTGACTTTGATTTGCAGTCGCGGTCAGAGCAAATCATTTTGCCTGGGGGATGGAAAGGTGCCTGGATTTCTTTCGTCTGTTGAAAGTAGCCAGCCAAAGTTGTGAAAAGCTTTGGGACGCAAACGGCACTATATATAAATGAAATGTAAAATTGTTGTTGTTCTAGAGTGTGGTGGGGGAGTGGAATGGATAATCTTAATTTCTAAATACATTTGGTAAGATCATGTAATTAAGATAAATGGAGATCAGTTCAGCATTGTTAGCTTCTAACCGCCATATAACTATTGTACGTTTCTGCCTTTGGATGCAAAATTTATATATATATATATATATATATATAGGAACATAGGAATTAGGAGCAGGAGTAGGCCATTGCCCCCTGAGCCTGCCCCGCCATTCAATAAGATCATGGCTGATCTTTTCACCTAACTCTATTTACCCGCCTTATCCCCATATCCCTTAATCCCTCTATCCTTTAGAAATCTATCAATCTCAGTCTTGAATATGTTCAAGGACTGAGCATCCACAGCCTCTGGGGTAGAGAATTCCATAAATTCACTACCCTCTGAGTGAAGAAGTGTTTCCTCAACTCTGTTCAAAAAGACTGACCCTTAATCTTAAGACTGTGACCTCTAGTTATAGATTCTTCTACCAGGGGAAACAGTCTCACACTGTCCACTCTGTCAAGCCCCAATAATCTTATATGTTTCTATAAGATCAAGATATATATATATATATTGCAATTAAAATTAAAAAGGAAGCTTTCCACAGGAGCCAGCAATGCATCAGATAACTGGCTCCACAGTCACAATGGGTCAAATGGCCTCCCTGTACGCTGTAATAATCTATCTTGTATCAACATTCTGTAGACCCATAAATTATCCCTTCTGTCTATGAAGGTTGTACTGGGGATATGGCCAGTTTATATGTCTTCCCTGCCCTCCTGAACCCAACCTCCAGCTCAGGTATACACCCTAAACCGTCCAGTGCTTTGGGACATCCTGTGAAATTGAATATTATTAAAATGTTTTATTAGCAATTATAAAACCACACAAGCGAAAGCATCACATTACACCCGACGCATTATCATTACTCGTCGCGCTTAAATGACTTCTGAAGCACAATCTTAACGAGATACATTCAATACTAAAATTCTAAACGCATGTAAAAAAAAATGATGCGATGTAATGAAATGTGCCTAAATAATCTCTAACTATTTTGTATGTATGTTGGGTGCGTGTTTTAGTCAGTAGGAGAGATACTACCCAGCAGGCAGGAAATCGTGACCAAGTTCTAAGGCTGGCACAAAAGTTAAACCCTGTCTCTGGTGAGCTGCAAACACCTCGTGATGGTCCACTCCGGCGAGAGCTGGACTTGTCCTCTTTTCCTCACAGGCACTCTTCTTCCTCTCTGTAGAGGTTTGTCCTCTTTCTCTCCCCAGAGACTCCTCAGCGGCTCTTCAAAAAACTGGTTTTGGCTATCGCGATTTTTATACCTTTTTTCGCCAGCCATCTGTGTTCTAACTCTTTTTTTTCATGACTTCTTTCCCGCTCTCTGCACTTTTCCCAGGCATTCTTTCCCCATCTTCAAGTTGTTTCTCCTTGTACCAGCTAGGGTAGCTACTGCAAAAGGACAATCCTCTTCCTATTCCATCCTATCCAGCCCGACCAAACCACCTGACTCCAGGTCCCTGAAGTTTCAGTCCTTCTTTCTAACTCTGTCCATGTAACCTGCTCACTGTAAGTTTTAATGACTGGTTTGTATCCCATCCATTCTCCTGGTCCATTTATCCCGGGTTCCTATCTCTCCTGCTCATAGGTCACATGCCCTTGTAAGTGCAGATGGCCTCCCATCCATCCTCCAGATCCAGCTATCCTTATCTTCCCTGGCCATGGATCACATTCCAGTGACCTCCTCCTCATTCAGTGCCTCTTTACCAGGACTGTGTGTGTGTGCGTCACATGGCAGTTTTTATTTCTTTAATTCATTCTGCTTAATTCATCTATTCACTACATGATTAATACTAATGATTCTTATACTATAATGATAACTATTTACAATCCTCCCAACACGAAAGGCGCTGTGTAAGTATCATTTGTTTGTTGCTGTTGTAGCTATGGGGACTTGCCTGCACTTTGGTTTGGAGAAGTTATAGACCGTCGTAGAAGATACTTTGCTGTCATTTACTGTGCAGTGGGATGTGTTCCTTCCCCATTATATGCTCCCAAACTTATCTCTGGATTATTTAGGTCTCCCTGAGCTCAGTAACCTCAAATTCAGCAGAAGCACTGATTATATGTTTTCACGCTATGTAATTTCCACTAGAAGCTGTAGTGCTGACAATATATCATTAGTACATGTGATCATACAGTGAAACAAACCACTGCTGTGTACATGGTGCCTGACCCCACCCCTCCCCTCTCCCCTCCCTCTCCCAAATCAGTCTTTGTCCTGTCTTCTCCCTGCCTTCATGCAATCGAGAGATATCAGTGATGCGGCTCGGATCCTCCACGTATATATATTTTTTGGTGCGTCGCGGCTGTGTTTAAAATGCCGAGCTGAGGAGGGGATGGGTTACTGTCGTGTGAATGGAATGGACTTCCCAAAACACATCACACGTACAGCGGCCAGTCTGTGGAGTCCTAATCTCTACATCGACAGTATTCTCAAAGAATAATCTCTATTCCATCCTATCCAGCCCGACCAAACCACCTGACTCCATGTCCCTGAAGTTTCAGTCCTTCTTTCTAACTCTGTCCATGTGACCTGCTCATGGTAATGACTGGTTTGTATCCCATCCATTCTCCTGAGATTGCCTGGCAGCAAAGCCTGCCAGACGGAGTCACTGGATACAAATGTAAACACAAGCCGCCCGGCCGCCGGTTCATCTGCCGTTGCGATTTGGCCGAGCAAAGAGGCGGATGCTGTCGGTGTCTGCCTGTAGAGCAGGCTTATCTATCCTGACCTGCAGTATCTCACGGGAGGTGGTGCATCAGAGTCTCGCGTTGACCCAGGAGCGTTCATGTTAATGGCATAATAAATTGCCATGGGGAGAGGAGGGAGGGAGGGAGCGGTGCGAGAATCCTCCAAGTTTCCGTCGGTCTGGCCGATTTACAATCATGTCACCATGAACATGAAGAAATGTGCTTGTTCAGCCAGAGACTCGGTCGGTACAGGCTGTCTCTCTGTGTGTGCCGACCGGCCAGGGTCACCGAGTTCTGCTGGCTGATAACTAACTGCCTTTTGTGTGGGCACATGTCCTCCTGGCCAGTCCCCCGAGCTGGCCAGGTCATGTGTTGATAAGAATGAGGAAGCAATGGTTTCGAAATTCAGTGAGGGGAGGAGGCAAAAAAAACTAACTTAAAACCTGGCTCAGGGATTCGGCGTTCCACAGGCATATTAGACTAACTGGTAATGTTTAATGACTCTCTCGTTACACAGTTTTCGATCCCAAGTTAATGATCGAACGCAATACACACGCCCACTCACTGCATAGTTACCTTGTTCCCATCGCCCTTTCTTTAAGCCATAGAGATTATCCTTTGAGAATACTGTCGACGTAGAGATGAGGACTCCACGGACTGGCCGCTGTCCGTGTGATATGTTTTGGGAAGTCCATTCCATGTCATTCCCGTTCAATATGAGAGAGAAGGGGCGGGAGATCTGATCACAAAACTGACCGTGACTTACCACTAAATTGCCACTTTCGCTCACAGACGTCATGAGTTTCTGAAATTGCCGATGATGGACCAGTAGTTGAGACAAATTGTCGGGGGTTGTGGGTGGGTGGGTGGGGTGGGGGTGCACAAGCAAAGCAGTTTTGTTCTGCGGCTAGTTTGAACAGCTTTGCCGTGCTGGCTACGTGCTCCCAGGCGCTGCTCTGCCTGAGTTGCGCTGTTTAATGGACGTTGTTTTGGGCCTGATATTGATTGGTTGCCTTTCATTCTCTCTCCTCTCTCCTTAAAGCACAAAGCAAAAAGCTGGGATGTACCACCTTTGCTGGGTCTATCACATGCCAATTGATGAACTAAAATAGGCTTAGCTTGAAGGCTTATTTGACGAAGGGCAGGAGGAGGCTCGTGTGGAGCATAAACACCGGCATAGACCAGTTGGGCTGAATAGCCTGTTTCTGTGCTGTATATTCTAATGTAAATAAATAATAATTTGGTCACTCAATCCACAATTGTTTGGCGTCGCTGCTGTGCGTAATTGGCTCCCGTGCTTGGACCACAAAATATACAGTCACTACACTTTTCAGTATATTCTGTGAAGCGCTTTGAGACGTCCCAAAGACTTGATAAGGTGCTATAGCCAATGCAAGGATTATTATTATTATTATTAAATGGAGGGATCCTTTCAACTTCACAATGGGATTTTCTATCTTAAAGAGATAAAGAGTGGATTGCTATTTTTAGTGATCCGGATCTGATCGATGCCAATTCTAAACTTCTTTTTGGACTTAACTTATATTGGATCCATAAAACTAGCATATGGCAGGTTCCCTAATGTTCTTTTTTCCCTCTCAGGACTTTAGCTGGGCTGTCAGCTCCGATCGAAAAGGCACAAGGGCCAGTTTCTGCACAAGCCTGCTTCCCTGCTCTCTCTTCCTCCTCAAGCCTCTATCCCGAGACGTGGATTTCAATGGAACCATCTCAAGATTTTGTTCAAGTGCCTGTTTCCATCGAAGACAAGAGCTATAAAACTGTGTACAACCTTTTCCACAAGACAATACCGGAAACCAAATTTAGAATTCTAAACATACATAGAGTTCAAAACCCTTATCTCTGGGAAAAATATAAACGGTAAGTTTGCATTGTAATATTGTAAATAACATGAGACTACATTTTATTTTTCATATTCACGAACTCTGAATACTGTTAATAATAGATAATATATTTACATTAATAATAGTGGAATCATTATTAATATTATTTATTATTAATGAAGTGCAATTATTATTACCAGTCTACATACAGGCTGCACAGATCATAGCTCTCTCAGCCTTGGCTACAGTTTACAATGTTTTATAGTTGTTGGTTTGTTCTTACTTGGTGCTTTTTAATAATGTGATACAGAAGTGTGTCTCCACATTTTAGCCATTACGCCATGAAACTCTGGAACAGTCTTCCTCTATCCCTCCCTCCGCCTCGCCCCTTCCTTCCCCATCTTCAGGTCGTGCCTGAAGATCTTCCTCTTCGACTGTGCCTACGGTCATCTCCCCCCCCCCCCCCCGGCAAGGCGTCGTGCTTCACCACTGTCAAGGGCTGTGTGAGCGGCACTGTATAAATGCTTGTTGTGTTTATTAGAAGCAATTACTGGGCACACAGCAGGTGAAGCTCTGTGTTAGAGAGCTTTGATGTCTGAATGTCCCCATAGTCGATCTCTTCTCTGGAGCACCTTCAGTTGATTCATATTCTCAAATTAGGTGGCTTCATTTTTTTATTTGAAGAACGACAGGGTTAGGCTGCAATTATACACTGGAAAAGGCAAATTGCGGTATTCTCAAATGGCTGAGCTCCTCTATAATGAGATAGTTTGCCTGATCCTGCAGTGCTAATTGCTTTTGTGCTGCTTTGTTCTGAGTTAAGAGTCTGCTGATGCTCAGCAATCCTTCCCTGCAATGCACAGCTTCCCAATTCCTTGGAATTTATGTTAAAGACTGCAGAGAGCGCAAAGAGGAGTAAAGTTCAACATTGTAACCTTTGTAATAAAGATATCAAATCACTTTTGGGGAGGGGAAATGTATGTGCATGTGTTTTGGGGTTATATTTGACACCTCCACCCCCCGACCCACCCCTCCTCCCTCCCTACATCCCTTATCTTTCAGCTTCTTGCTTCTTCAAGACGTCCCAAAGCAATCTCTTTGACCGACACCCTTTTAATCTCCCCTCCCTGTTGGGTGATCCCCAATGTTGACATGAAGCACTCTTGAGACATTCATCTTGTGTGAAAGGCACTGCATGAGCAGCAGCCGTTACCCAAATCAAAGGGAGTTCTGGACGACCAAAGACTGATAGAGATGTTGAGGAGCATAATGACTTGGTGTCAGTTCTAGTGTAAGAGTAGATCTTAATTGCAGGCTTGTTCTTGGCTTTACACACCATGTCATCATTGGCTCCTGTGATGAGTGAGCTCAAGCAAAGAGTACACTGTAGTTCTATCCAACTATATTCAGCTGGTGCTTTATGCAGTGAAGGGTGCATTGTAGATCTTTGTCCAATTCGACACTAACAGACTGCCTTCATTGCCTTGATATGGTCCCAGAAATTTAAAGGAACCCCAAAAAATGTTTCAATACCTGGAATAATAATCCTTGCATTTGATACAGTGCTTTATCACGTCTTCGAGATGTCTCAAAGCGCTTCACAGGATACACTGTAAAGTGAATCGACTGTGTATTTTGTGGATGAAACGTGGCAGCCATTCGAATCCGCCTCAGATTCGGGTTAGTACTGTTGGGACAGAAGCTGGGACTGTATAAAAATAAGTTTCTACCCATGTTTTGCCTGTTGTTTTGCTATGTGATTGACCGGAATGTCATTTTTTTCTGCCTTCCTTTCTGCAGGAAAAAGGAGTACATGTCAAGAAAGATGTCAGAAATGGACAAGATCCTCAACGAAAGACACTTGTTTCACGGGACCTCCCAGGACGCAGTCAATGCCATTTGCAAGCACAATTTTGACCCCAGGGTCTGCGGGAAACACGCCACCATGTTCGGACAGGGCAGTTACTTTGCCAGAAAGGCGAGCTACTCTCATAACTTTTCCAAGAAATCGAAAGAGGGCATTCATTATATGTTCTTAGCAAAGCTGCTGATAGGGAAGTACACACTGGGCAAGCCTTCGATGAGGAGACCTCCGTCACAGTCTCCAGCTGATCCTTCCAGTGACTTGTTTGACTCTTGTGTGGACAACTGGCTCGATCCTCAGATTTTTGTCATTTTCAACGATGACCAGAGTTTTCCTTACTTCGTTATTCAGTACGATGAAGTTGGAAGCACGGTGACTGTTTGACAAACAAGTGATGAACAGCAGTGATAAACGAGAGACCGAAAATACTACAGTGAAGCTTATCTACACAATATAGACTGAGGTCTCTTATAACTGGGATTTACAAAATAATCAAACTCTCGATGACCACTGTTGCAGAACAACCTGCACTAGCAGTTCCTTGACCGAGTGTAAATAACTAAATACATTGCCTTGGCCAATGTTCCATCTGTTCATGTGCCTTTTTTTTGTTTGTGAACCGATGTGTATTTATATTAGACGGAGGGAAAAAAACATGTTGCCCATTTCTAACCAATGCTGAAGTGTTTGAGAAAGAAACCTGCGCATTCTTACTTGATGAGTCAACTCCAGTAAGAGTTTTATTTTTGAAATGATCAGAAGTTGTGGGAATGTGACACGGAGCACTTTGTAGACCAAAGTTTTAACCTTGAGACACGGCTTGTGATGTTAAGACAAGTTGCACCAACTGCCACAGCGACAGAGTGCTTGCTCTAAGGTTACCTTGTTTGCAGGAGATGAAATCTGCCACAGAGATCAGGCTGTTGGCCACAAGAAAGGAAGCCCATATCGTGAGAAAGGCCTAGTTGGCTCTTTCTCAGAGTTGTGTAAACTGAAGTGACAGCTCTCCCTGGTCTCACTGTTAGACTTTTCACTTCCACTCAAACCTACCTTGATCCTTTACTTGGTGTCTGCTTTATTCCTCCCGCCAGACAGTCAACGGTCACACACTCATACATTCACACACAACGTAAAGAGAGTCGGGCGAGTCAAATTGCCAGCAAGTCGAGGAATGAAGGAGAGCATAATATGAGTCAAAAACATCTTGATGTCATCAGTCATACCATAAATTGGCATTGACCAAGGTTTTTTGTTAATCTCTCAAGTATTCTGTTGCTGTTGAGGAATCAAATTGAGAAGACCACAAATTTCCTCAAACCCAACATCTATCCTGTTCCCAGTGTGGGTTTGGAAGATTTTCTACGAAAGTAAAAAGAAATCGCTGACCAGGTATCCTTATTCCAACGCTGGAAGTACCACCGTGCTTCATACTGATCCATCCTCCCAACCTCGCTCACTCGATCTTAAGAAAAAGTCTGTTACACAGGCAAGGAGTCAGTCTTGCTCGAAAATACCATCAGATTATAATTAGGGAACAACTGTATAAGGACATGCCAGTCGTAGCACACCAGTTACACAGGCTCTTAAAAGAACCAAACATCTGGAAATTATTATACTTTATATTATTATAAATTGTTCCTCCCAAAAATCAGCAGAGAGGTGTTGACAATCTCGGTTTACCAAAGCCTTCTCGGTTGTTTTAATTGCATTCTGTCCGGCATTAGTGATGCAACGTTTCATGTCCTTTTTTTGAAAAAAATATTTGTTTCAAAAAGAATCAAAGCCAACAAAAGAGAACTTGCTGACAACAGAATAATAAAGAGAACTGCTAAAAGGAAGCAGCCGGTAGTGTTTTTTTTTGTGTGGAAAAGAGAAGATGAAACCCTGATCTGAGTGAGTTTATTTTGATCTGAGTGAGGGTGCTTGCCCTAGGGGTCCCTCGATGGAATGCCCCCCAAATAAAATCCAATGGAACAAAGAGTTAGGAGGACAGGGTTCAACAATGCGCTAAAGGGCCTTTTTCGCAGGTGCATCTTGAGGCAGACATACAGTGATTGACCCGGAGAGGAGAGGATCTTTAAACCATGTTAGGAGTTTCAGAATTCTTGTTGCAAATCACTCTCGTGAACTTGGAAAACCAAGACAGACGTAGTCAAAGCAGCAACGGCACAGTTTAATCTGCATGAAACCTCTCCGCTTGTGAAATATATTGAGTTCTGCCCCATTTTGCAATTGCAGTATAGTTCGCATGTCATGGGCAGATCCAAAAAGCCAGGCTCGCCAGGGAAATTAACACTAGGATCAGTTGTAGAATGATATCAACGTCATCACTGGAACAAAGTGTGAGTGGGTGCCCAGGTACTGTCGTGCAAAGTAAAATATTCAGTTGGCAAAGTGCAAGGCTGAGGTCAAAGGTATCATTTTATCCAGGAAATCAAGTCAGTTTGATCTAAACTGTTTACATGACACCAAATGTTGTAGAGGCTTCAATCCACATCCTGTACTTGATTTACCTAAACGGTGAGGCGTGTTGTACCAGATGATTGAATCCGAAACTCGGACTGATACCAAACTCAAGGTGGCCTTTCCAGTAGATCAGTGATTTGTTTAATTATCCTTCGATTCAGTTTTGGAACCAAAGATCGCCACGTTACTAATTGAATTAGCAACGTAAGACGTTTTAACTCAAGGGTTAAGACAGGATTCCGACAGCATTAAGAATCAGATCGAGGCTTTTAATTTGTAACGCGATAATCTTATGACACGGTGGCCAAACTATTCTGGAATTTGACGTTTTGACATCGGACAGTAGCAATACAATACTTGATCGTTTCATATCAATCTCCCTTCTTTACACACATTGAAGCATCTTTCCTTAAGCTCTGCGTACTGATGTAAAGAAATCATTTGCACAATGACAAGCTTCTATCTACGACGATATTTTGCCAACTTGAACAAGCCACTGCACAAACTACTGAATGAGTTTAATGTCACTTACATCTGATCTCACTCTACAGTAAGTGTCAACAGCTCCATTATTGGAAGCATTTTGTTGAAATGGGCACCGAATACACCCCATCTATCTATAAGTCGTGATGACGTTCTCTTGCCCACTTTTAAGAGGCCTGTAAATTCCTTTCGAGGTACTGTTTTTATTTATTTATTGAAACAAACAGCATAACACACTCAATACCACCTTTTGTGGACCTTCCTATAAATGAGGATTCTGTATAATAAATATTGTATATCTTTTTGTCAACTGCTGAGCTGTATGTATGTAAATAAAATTAGCTAACCTATTTCCTGACAAATTATCTGACGCCTGATCTGTCCTATTTGTGAAGTGCTAAAGACATCAAGGTAGAGACCCAGTATCAATAAGCTAATTCCAATATTAATAGGTCTAATTGTAATGTACTTAAAGAACTTCAGGTCAATGTATGTCACAAAGTGTAAACACTATGTACCAAACCAGGTCCTAGCTGGCAAATACCATAAACACTTATAATAATGATAAACTTTGTAATTGATATAGCGCCTTCTCGTGTCATTGAGACATCTCAAAGTGTTTCACAGCATGTTAAGTGAATCGACTGTGTATTTTGGTTGACGAAGTATTTAACAAAGTTAGCAAAGTATCGACAATACTCACTGCCATAGTACCGTGTTAGATTTGGCGAAAACGTACCAGAAGTAAAGGCATTGTGGGCTACAGAGCTAGGAGTTTCCAAGATGTAAGCACTCTACACAGTTGTACGCATAACCTATTCACAATATTCTGCTTAGTTAATGATTTGTATCTAATTCCCCAGTTTTATGTTAATTTGGCATTGCTCCATATCAACGGCAAATGTACTGTCCAGCAGTGCCAATTCCACAGGCGTCTGGAGTTTGGCATTTGTAGTGAGCACACCTGAAAATGGTCGTCTCGTGCTGTTAGCACCTTACATCACACAACCCACTGCGCAGCCAACTTTCTGAAACAAAAAAAATTCCCTAATGCGGCCCGATCCACTGGCTTAACATTTCCAATGATGGAAAAGATATGCATTGGAAATGTCAGCAGCACTATCAGCGGGCGGGCCTTCTGCCACTCTGCCCCTAGCCTCTGGAACTCCATCCTGCAGTCCCTCTGCCTCGCCCCCTCCCTCGCCTCCTTCAAGACCCATCTCAAGACCCTCCTGTTCGACCGTGCTTTTGATCTCCCTGCTTCCCCCCTCACCCCTGCCCTCCACACTCCCCAATCCTGACCCCCAGCTCAGGTCCGTAACCCTGTCTGTCCAATGCCTTTGGATATCCTCCAGACGTGAAAGGAGCTATACATGTAATTTTGTTGTTGATACCACACCTACAAAACCACGTGTAAGGCGAGACAATCAAGCAACCGGGTGTTCAATTGGCTCCACTACTGTTACGCGCTCCGAGACGCCATCCGGTGTGAAGGGCTCTGTATAAATGCAAGTTGTTATTGTGTTTGGTTCTTTGTCTCCGTGGCTCTGGAGTGCTGCCGACTGGTTTGTCTGTGTGCCCTTGCTACCTAGCAATATCCTTCAGCATCAGAAGCACTACAGACACTCACTGCCCAAGACCAAGGGAGGAGTGCTAGAGGGCAAAGAGCTTTCGTGCCTTGACAATATCACGTTGATAAGATGAGGGCAAAAGTTGGGATTGGGTGAAACACAGAGTGTTCCAATGGGGAAGCCATGGTGAGGTTTAGGTTGGGGACACATTGATGAAGCAGGGTAGAGAGGGAACTACGTGATCTTTTTAAACAAATGACAAAGCCGCTTTTTAAACAACCCATTTGTGTTTTTCTCACTGCAGACTCCCTCAGCCCACTCAGGGCTGAACACAGACCTGAATCACCAAGGCAATAAAACAAAGGTTTAGAATTGTAAGGGCGATTTCAGGACAGATACTGGGAGGTTTATTTTAGAAGGTAATTAATGACAGGAAGGGTGGTTGAGGTCAAGTCATCGGACTCGCTTAAAAAGCAGAGAATGGCAGGGTGGGGATTCTGGAGGGATGAGATCAGATGGGTCAAAGGCTCTACTTTATCCAAACTGATCTTGTGAGCTATTTTCAAATGTGCCAATCCTGACCTCATCCCTAACCAAATGAGAGAAACCTTAGAAAACAATGGGCTCCAGGTGCTGATTGGGAGTGAACCCAGTATGTGCTGCTCATGAGCAGTAGAAGACTGGAATCCATTTTTAGAGAGAATGAGGGGAGGACGTTCAGCTTCTCCTTTTTATCTTTGCTAACTTTTGTTGGATGGACAGCATTGTTGTCAATACTGTAGTCAGGGAGGAATATCGCCTGCCAACAACAATCAATGGGATTTTACAACAGCGGCAACTTCTCGATATCTTGACATGTTTGGTTTGAGGCATTTTAACCCTGCTTTATCATTGGTGTTCCGAGCTGTTGCACTCTGGACTCTTGTTGAAAGAATTAGAAGGTAATTATGAACATTATGTATCTCTCTTTGCACTGCACTACAATATGGAAATTACAAGTAGAAATTACAAGTTTCATTCTAAATGATAGCAAGAAGATAGGGGAGGGGATTGAAGTGCCTTTAAATGATAGACTACACTAATTCCTTCAAAAATAATAATAATTTGGTCACTCACTCAATCCACGACTTTGTGGGACGCTGCTGTGTGCAATTAGCTGCCGCGTTTCGCCCACAAAATACACAGTCACTGCACTTTACAGTATATTCTCTGAAGCGCACCAGGAGCTATGTCACCAGTTTCTCTGAACATGTGTATTTCTTCTGCATGAGCAACATATCACTGATGGAATTGGGTTGTATTTCACATATGCCATTCAATTTGTTGCTACTCTCATCCTACAGGTTTCAACCGAGGTGCAAATGGGCCTAGAGATTTTCACCAATTTTACAAAGCAAGGTGTTGTGTTGCCTCGGGTTCTTTAGAAATTCTGAAAGACTTTTGCTCTTTAATCTATTTTGACTGCTGCCTATTTTCCCAGTAATAACCAGTGTTCCAATTAGCAGAATATCACTGCAGGTGTCAAGTGATCAAAAATATGTGACAGGACGAGAGGATATTCTATGAAATGGAATCGACTCACATGGTAAATATATAAAGTAAATGCCATGTTTCAAACAATCAAAACAGGCAGTGCAATAATTTGGATAACACATGACATTGATCTTCCCTGTTAAACAAATAGGATACCTCGAAACAAAGGTTAGATACAAACTATAGCATCTAGTAGCTACCTATAAATTAGTCCTATTCCTTTAAATGCAAGTTGTTGTTGTTGGTAGTAGTGTCAGCTGGAAGAAGTGAATCTAAATCTCTGCCCTCTGCGGAAGGTGGAATAATTTCTTCTGATACAAGCTAAGTTGCAGCTTTATACAGTAAATACAGTAGAATCGTCCCTGCTAACCTTCTGTTTGGGGCGGTCATTGCCTTGGGACGTGCTCCTGACGTGAAAGAGGCTATACACGTGTCATTTGTTGTTGTTGTTGTTGTTGTTTGTTGTTGTTGTCATCATTGGGCACCAGCAATCAAAGGGGTTTGGACAGCCCACCTGTGCCATTTCTCGCCTAACCGGCCTGGAGGTAGATTTGATCAATGTCGGCAGCCTCCAGCTTCCTCCCCAGGTCACCAGCTCAACACTGACAAACTCGTTCTTTACGCAGAGTCCCAATGTGAGGGTCAGGTGTTAAATCGTTACCGTGCCCAGAGCATAAGAAAAATATTCCTCCATGGAAACACCCTAAAAATCATCAACGGTGATATCTTTTGCACACGCGGTATTTCACTAATGCTGTAAAAGTGTTACGAAACTATAAGGTTGAACATTTTCTAAATGTTTTGGCTGGGTGTTCATTCCCAGGAAGGTGCAGTGACTGTTCAGCAAAGCCATGCAATGTGTCTCATACCATACCAGCACACCATGTTGCTATGTACCTTGTGTCCCATTGCATTTAGTGATTTGCTTCTGGGGCAGGAGGTCAAATAGTATGACCTAAAAAGGTAAGCTTGTAAATGAAAAGGTTCTTTCTTTTAAACATTAATTGTTTTTCTTGTATTGTGGTATTTTTGATGTGCATGGTTATTTTTACAATAACTTTCAGAATCTTTTTGCAAAGATTATTATACAATAATCCTTGCATTTAATATAGCACCTTATCGCGTCCTCAAGGCGTCTCAAAGCGCTTCGCAGAATTTACTGTAAAGTGAATTGACTGTATATTTTGTGAGTGAAACGCGGCAGCCAATTGCGCACAGCAGCGTCCCACAAACAGTGGTGGATTGAGTGACAATTATTATTATCTTTGAAGGGATTATTATCCACGGAAAAGCGATCCGCCAATCGACTAACAATCGGGTTCCTACTTACTGTTAGGTAAACAGGAGTGCGGAGTAAGGAAACTTGCCATTGTTTCGCCCTGCCCAGGAACCAAACCCTCTCACTTGTGAGGCGAGTGCTCTAAGCATTGAGCTACAGGACTCCAATTATAGTCGGTATGTCATGTGGACGTAAACTGCAAATGTATTTTGCGCAGAGATGCTTTCAACTTCATTTACATCCAATGTGATTACATTCATCATGGCGTATTATTTGTTACACAAACCTATCAAAGCACAATTAACAGCAGGCAATAACGTTTTGCATGATATTTACATCTAGAGATAGTTTAACATCACGCAAAAGAAGTAGCAGCAGGATTCCCTGTGTATGAGTGTGCCTCCTGTACATTCAGGTAAACTGAATTACCTCACTGGCCTGTCAACCTGGTGTCATGAAATCATAGAATATTACAACACAGAAGGAGATCATTCGGCCTATCGTGCCTGTGTCGGCTCTTGGGAAGAGCCACCCCATGAGCCCCACTCTTTCCCCAGATCCTTGCAAATGTTTCCGTTCTCAAGTACCTGTCCAATCCCCTGTTGAAAATTGTTATAGAATCATAGAAAGGGTTCTGTAAGTGCACAGTATAAAGCTCCTGCCCTGTGACTCTCTACCTGAGAGGGAACCTTTATGAAAGGTTAGACGTATCCAAGTGTTTTATACGGTTCCCAAACAAAGCATTTTAGGCTGCCTTATGTTTGCAATTAGGAAACCTGGTTCCATTAAGCTGACTTGCAAGCGGAAATATTACAATTGCTTATTAATATACACTCGAATCAGAGAGTCATAGGAACTTACAGCGCAATAGGAGGCCTTTTGGCCCATCGAGTCTGCACTGGCTCACAGAGCAAGTTGTCCGTTCAATCCCTACCCCACTTCCCTTCAAGTCTTTTTTCTTTCGTATATCTGTCTATTTCCC